AGACTGATAGGGTGATGCCAGGAAGTAGGAACCTAGTGGGGTCGACAAGATAGGGACTTGGGATATGCTTATGCTCCAGGTCTCAGTTGAAGACCAGTACTGGCTGAGAACAACTTCGGATCTTCTGATCCTGAATACTTAAGAGATAGATGAGGAGGGTGAAGAAGAAGAAGAAGTAGTAGTAGTAGAAGAAGAAGTAGAAGTAGAAGAAGACAACGCCGACAACGACGATGACGACGAAAGAAGAAGATGGATGAGGGCAAGCGAGGAGGGGAGAAGTGGGGGATTAGCGGACCGGGAGAGGATTGGGATGCACGGATTACTTATAGCATCGAGCAACCAGACTGATGGGACAATAACAGGCCGGAAGATCCGCAGGGAATTATTGGAAAGCCTCTGGGGCCGGTCGATCAGGTTAGTCGGGATAGACAGCAGGAAACCATGAAACAGAAGAAAAAGGGTGCCAGTATCAAGTCAGGTCAGCTCAAATCAGATCAGGCCGAATCAGGTTCAGTCCGAGTCAGTAGTCAGTCAGTCCCTCGCTCACTCATTCAGTCAGTCATGCCTCTTGTCGCTTCTCACCCACCCCAAGTGGGCACCGGAAGCCCAAGAGACAGGCTGAGAGACCCTCCTTCACGCGCGCATAATGGACCCATCCGAGAGACTTGCAGACCCGAGAAAAAAAGTAAAGAGACGAATAAGACATCAGCGATGACTAGATCGCGCGAGAAACGAGGGCGAAAAAAAAACAAACGAAGCCCACCGAGATGGAAAGAAATCCCTGGGATGAAGAAAAAAGAAATGAGGGAACGCAGAGACTAAACCAGCAATCAAACCAGATGCAGGAGGGCTTTTTTCTTTCTTTTTTCTTTTTCTTCCTTTTTTCCTCCTGCCATTTTCCCTGCAGTGGCTTGTTTTTTTTTTTCCTAATTTCATTTTTTTAATTATTCTGAAAATATTTTATTACTTTTATTTCTCCGAATTTGAGTGGAGAATGGATAACATTTGAATTTCATGAACAAATAGATTTAAATCCTCTGTTTTAATTCTTGGGGGGGTTTTTTTGGGTTTTCTTAATTTGTATCATGTCATATTTGGATCGATTATTTAGGTTAATATGTAGGGGGGATGTTTGTGTGTTTTGGTCACAAATAGATTGGCAGGCTGAGCCTAATTCAATACCTGACAACCACAGCAGAAGCAGCAGCAACAAGAACAACAACGGAAAGAAAGCGGAAAGAGCAAAGCATCATTGTTTGTATGGTTTAGTAATTATTCCACTCTCTTTCGTTCATTGTTTATCATCATCTTCCTTGGATTTCCCCCCTCCTTCTCATCTTCCTCCTTTAAAAAAAATCCCCCACCGCGGCAAAGTGGAAAACTGATTGATCCATCCAAATGGGACGCACTATGTCCCGAAACGGTATCAGTCACTGATGCGAACCCAGAATGGCTCCTTCTGCTGAACTAATTGATTAGCTCATATTCCTTTTGCGGACCAATCCACCGGGACGATGGCCAAAGGATGCGAGAGAAGGTTACGGAAGATGGATGGTGCTGAGACAGAAAAGTGAGAGTGTGTGAGAGAGCATGTGGAGCTAGAGTGGGCGACAGACAGGAGGATCACTAGGATCACTTCATAGTTACGATGGTGGCCCCCACAGGAGCCGCCTCAGATCCATCGCATTCCTGCGAAAAGAAAAAGAAAAAAAAAAATCAAAAATCAAAAACAAAAAATAAAATAAAATAAAATAAAAAAGTCTGGAGCCAAGGAACTTTGCAATCGTGCTGAAGATCAGTCAGACACGAGGCGCGCGGGGCTATTCGGGGCTGAAAAGTACCTGCTCGAACCCGACTCTCCAGCATCTAGTCTACATCTCCATATCACACTATCCGTTTATGAACCCAGCCAGCACTTCCTCGTCTTACTGTCCGCTCTTCCTCTGATTGCTTCCTGGAGGATTCGATTAAGGTTAATTGTCCCAAGAGGGGACGGCCCATAACTAGTTAACTACACATGTACTGACCCAGGTATGGATCCTCTAAGTCCTCTCTAGTATCTACTAGTCAGGGACTAAGGCCGTCCGAGCTAACCTCAGCTTTTCAATTTTCTACCACTACCTGAAAATCCCTGGTCCTCATTCCAAATTCGGGGATCCGTCCACTCGCTCTATAATCAATGGATCGATTGATCAATCGATTGATTCCCACCTACTGGGCCGAGTTCCCCGAACAGCCTTTAAAGTCATAAAGTCAACTTTAAGCCCTTCCGAAACGCTATTTGGGTGATCGTTTTCTGGTCCATGCACCGAACCGTGTACCAGTCTTCTGGATCGGGTTTGCAAGCCGGGGAGATCTACGCCCATCTGTATTGAAAGGAGTAGAAAAAAAAGTAAATTGGATGCAGCCGAAGGAACACCCAGAACAAGGCAAGAAGCAGTACTTACTTTTACGGTCCGGTTCCACGGAAACCCACCGCCATGGCCACTGAACTTTACGAAGATCGGCTTAGGACCACGGGAAGAACCGCTTTCTGGGATTAGACGACACCGGGGAGCTGGATGGTGGATCGATCAGTGCATTATTGTGTAGCAAAATGCTTAATTACAGCGAATCGTGATGTCCCAGCAGCATAGACCAAGTATGGAGAACCAGGTCGGGAAAATAATGGTCTTTGCATTATGCAGCCATCCAGCTACCACCGCCCAGCACGGTCCAGGTTTCGCAGGAACTTCTGTCGGTTGTTGCAGACTTCTGCTTAGTCCTATCCCGATCAAGGATCACCCTACAGCCACTGAAGTCGCTCAATCGATGGTTAAAGTCAATGATCGTGCCGTGCCTGGCTAAGCTGCCGGGTCGCACACCTTCCGGCCTGCTGGGAAGGTCGTGCACCTTCAGCGACCAATCGAGGCCACGCTTGTCGGGGCAACAGGGGGGATCTGCAGCACTGCAATTGGAGCAAGCTAACTTTGGTCTGCAGCGCAAGGTGACCGGGCTGTCTGATCTTATGCCTTTTCCTTGTCTTGTTTTGAGTTAGATGTGTTCTAATTTTTGATTTTTAATTGTTTTCTGTCATGGTTTTTGGGGAATATTCGCACTACCAGCACCAGCGGAGCGCTAAGTGGTAGGGCGTGACAGGGGGGAAGCCCGGCGTGCACTAGAACGGCGTCCGAAGAGCCGGCGCCGCTTTTAGGGCCTGTCAGAAACTAAAGCCAGACCTGGGGGGCCGTGATCCCCACGCACGCGCAGAAAGTACGGCGTCTCCACGTAAAGAGATTCCAAATCATGGGTCCGAGTCTTCTTGAGGGATATACGGAGCTCCTAGGACATGTTTTCCAAGGTTCAAGGGAATGAAAGTGAGGCGGGTCCAGCCTCACCACTTTCACACTAGATTTCAGGATCGCAGTCATCAGTCGACCATCGCCTCCTTTAGTGGCTATTCAATGACGATGATCTTCAAGTTCAAGTCCAAGACAATAGAACAGGCAACATACGATGACCTTGCCTCGTGCTTATTCTGACAGCTGCTCCTCGTGCCAGCCGTGGATCCGAAAGTTCTGTCATTATCCCAATGAAGCCGCTGACTCAGGGAGCTACGACCAAGCAGGCGTGCAGCAGTATAGTAAGGCGCTCTATACGACGCTAATCTCGGCGATATCTGGAGATACAATCTCTTCGGTATCAATCGGAAGCTTGTCTACACAACTGCATGCGCCTGATTATTAAACGCGCCCACTGACAGAGCTGGAGTGGTCTGGTGAATCATGAAAACAATGTACCCACCAAACGTATTGCATGAATCTCAATTATCAACTTCTTCGCGGAGAGGCCATAATGCGATTATGCGCGGGACTATCATCTCCACCTGGTTCGCACATCGGCGGTGGGCTCAACTCCACACATAAGACCACTTCCCTTAATTTCTTTACCCTATTCCTCCGGTATAGTCATCAGTATTATCAATGACCATCAGCATCGTCAAGGCAGCTCTTTTAGTTTTCCACCCCATAGGTCCGCGCAGACTGATGCTGTTTTCACCTGGTCCAATTGGTTGCCCAACTCCCTGGCTGCTCCCCCTCCTCCGCCACACCCTGACGAACACTCTAGTTTTGGATCTCGAACGCATCGCCCAATAGAGTCACTTCCGGGATCCTATGACTTCCCGAGACACAAGGATGTACGATGACGCTGGCCATGACCGCAACAGCAGCAGGCAGATAAATGCTCGCCCCCAATCATGATGGAGAGTATTCCCAATCGAACGGATGACGACACAACCAACCTCACCCCATTTGATGAATGATCCGGCCGTATATACCTTCCTATCGCATTGTCCGGGCCCTGGGAGAAGTAAATAAGTCTCATCTCGTTCATCTGGAGCCTCGCTTCGCCCTCTGTGTTACCACCATCAGGTTCCAGCCCGTCTCCTTCAGTTCGATGGGGGGGGAAAGAGGAAAGGCAGTGGAAAGCAGAGAGTGTCTTCCGGTTGATCGTCTTTCTCTCTTTCCAGTCCCCGATCAATGGGGCGCCACGTTATGGATAGTCGCGTCCTGGGGTTCGACACTACCGACCGCTTGGGGCTCCCTGTGTAACGAGAGATTCTGGTCGCTACTATTATCAGGCTGGATTCAATTCCGCAACCTATCTAGGCGATCATCAGACTGGCTAGCTACCTAGGAGGGTCTACTAACTCGCCCGGGGCGTTCAATCTGGTAGCATGATCTTCGGCGCCTATTCTCTAGAGGCTAGCGGTGTTTGCGCTTACTATACAGTAGATTATGTACATCTGGATCGCGTTATGTCCCCCCTTTTACACTTCCCCTATATCGAACACGGGTCTGGCCGTCCTGCTGGCCAACAACTGACCTCCCTTCCTTCCCACGGAACCCCCCTTTGTCTTAAGGAGGGGTGGTGACAAGACGGTCGGAGGAAAGAGACCATTCTCATTGACCACAAACCCCAAGTACTGTTGGACAAACAAGTCACCCTCGGATAATCCTCTTAGTCAACGGGGCATTTCTACCACGTCCAATCATGCTCAACACCCCCGTCGCACAGATAGTCTACACTTATAGTTTCGGTTCAATTGTTCAACGTCAATAGTTACATGCTTGTCGCCGAGAACATGCAGTGTCGTGTCCTGAAACGAATCCTCGTGACACCGGGTTGAGATGCTTGCAATACAGGATATACTTTCGTCGAGAATCACAAGGCCAAGTGGAATAATACAACCAAGGAAATTAAAGGGGGAAAGGGTGGGAAAAAAGAGAACAGGTAGAGAAACAATCCCTCCAAAAGGCCAGAGAGGGGGACATGAGTAATGAAACAGAGGGAGGGAAGAAGAAGTTGGGCGTAAGGTAGGCAGGTATGCTTTCACCGCTTGACCCAGGTGGGCATCTTGCGGGCCTTGACATGACCGGGCTTCTTTCTCTCCACACGACGGGCATCCACGGTAACCACACCAGCTGTAAGAAAATAAATCGGTCAGCAATTCGCTCCACCACGACCCAATTCGTCGGGAGTCGGAGATACGTACCCTTCCGCAGGATAGGCTTAAGAGCAGGTTCGTGAACCAGCAGAGCCCGTGCAACAGCCAGTGTAATAGCCTCCGCCTGACCGGTCACTCCTCCACCGCGAACGGTAGCCCACACGTTATACTTGTCCAGCCGTGACGTACAACGAAGAGGCCAGACAGCACTCTCACGGTCATGTAGACGAGGGAACACCTCGTTAAGCGTCTTTCCGTTCACCAACACTTCACCCTCACCCTCAACGAGGTGCACCACCGCCGAGGACGCCTTGCGCTTGCCCTTACCACGGGCCTTGCCCTGTTCATCCACCGTTCTGGGGGCGGGCTTGTTTCCATACGGATTACCCGGACGGAGGAAGAAGTTGAGAGCCGTTCGCACCTCCTCCGGGGCAACATTGGGGTCAATGCGGTTGAGACGCTGCAGGAGCTTGATGAGGCCCTTGTACTTCTTGGTCGGGACGGGCTCGCCCACGGCATCACGGAACTGGAGCAGCTTGAACCAGGCCATTCTGGGGGCTTCGCTGGGGGACACCGTGGGTAATGCGGCATACTTGGCCAGAAGAGCTTCCAGCTTCAGCATATGGTCGAAAAACTTGGGGCTGCCGGAGAAGTAGGCCGGCGACACGGGGATGATGCGGGCAGGCTTGGTGATGAAGTTGTCGAGGTCAATGGGGGGAGCAGCAACGGGTTCTATTTCTGTCGCATAGCTGCGGGCATTCTTGCATTGCTGGAGGAGAGCCGGCGTGGAGGGAGAGGAGACCGGGGATGATGCGGAGATCACGGAGCGCTGGATAAAAGGCCGCAATTGAGCAGCTCGACGGATGGAGTGCATGGCGTGCACAAGGCCATTGGGGCTTTGCCAGGCCATGATGCTGCAGACCGGCTGGCAAAGGGGAGCCTGGAGGAATGTGAGGCGAAGAAGAAGACGGGCGATGGGGGAAGGGAGGCAAGAGGACGAAGAACACCAACGGACCCAACCGACAAGATTCGCCGGAACCTTCAACTTTCTTGCTATCCTGAGGTTTTTCGCCGAAGAGATCACGTGCATCCGGCAGCAAAGGTTGCTCCGGGCCGAAGCGGTCTGATTCGCACAAATTTGTTTCGAGCCCCTCGACAAGCTGCCGCCGCCTTTTTTCTCCCTCTTTTTCCCTCCCCTCTCCCTTTTTCTCTTCTTCTTCTTCTCCCTCCTCATCTTCCTCCCACACATCCTTCACAATGGCCTTCGGAAAGCTCTACGGTTCCCCTGTATGTGTTTCTGCCTGATTCAGGAAGTTCTTCTTCCCATCCCAGGGTTTAGAATAGCTTCCTTTCTGCTATGCTGAGAACACCTTGCTAATTGACTCCATAGGAGAACGGTCGCACCATTGCCTGCCTCGTCGCGGCTAAGGCCAACGACGTTGAGGTTGAGCTGGTCAAGACTGAGGCTAACTCTGCTGCCTCTTTCAACCAGTCCGCTGAGTACACCAAGCTCAGCCCTCTCGGCAAGATCCCCGCCTTCGAGGGTGCCAACGGCTACACTCTCTCTGAGGTCATTGCCATCGCTGTCTACCGTACGTTCTACCCTGAATACGCTTTGCGCGTTGCCATTCCCTTTGTTTTATGATGAGCATTTTATTTCAAGTTATCCCTGTCAGAACTGGTAAATAAATAAATAATGTTGATAACGTTTGACTCTGAAAATCATCTCTTACCCCACTTTGGGGTAGTGAAGAGATTTCGTCTTGATTATTTGATGATCACGCAATTGTCTCTTGGTTGGACCTCATGCTGACTCGAATAAAAGTGACCTCCCAGAACGAGAAGACCACCCTCTTGGGCAAGACCAAGCAGGACTATGCTTCCATCCTCCGTTGGTTGTCTTTCGCCAACTCCGAGACCCTCCCCCGCTTCGGTGCCTGGTACCGCCCTCTCTTGGGTCTTGACGGCTACAACAAGAAGAACGTCGAGGATGCTGCCAAGGCTGCTGTGAAGAACGCTGGCGTTCTCAACACCCACCTCACTGCCAACACCTTCCTTGTTGGCGAGCGCATCTCCCTGGCTGATTACTTCACTGCCGCTCTCCTCACCCGTGCCTTCGCTACCGTCCTGGACAAGAAGTACCGTGACGAGAACGTTGCCATCACCCGCTGGTACAAGACCATCGTCAACCAGCCCGCCTTCAAGGCTGTCTTCGAGAACCCCGTCTTCGTCGAGGAGTGCATCAAGTACACTCCCCCCAAGAAGGAGGAGAAGCCCAAGAAGGAGGCTGCCCCCGCTGCCGCCGCTGAGCCCAAGCCCGCTGAGGAGAAGAAGCCCAAGCACCCCCTTGAGGCTCTTGGCCGCTCCGAGTTCGTCCTTGACGAGTGGAAGCGCCAGTACTCCAACGAGGACACCCGCCCCGTTGCTCTGCCCTGGTTCTGGCAGAACCACAAGCCCGAGGAGTACTCCCTCTGGTCCGTTAACTACAAGTACAACAACGAGCTGAAGCTTACCTTCATGGCCAACAACCTGATCGGTGGTTTCCACGCCCGTCTTGAGGCTTCCCGCAAGTACCTCTTCGGTGCCCAGGCCGTCTACGGTGCCAACTACGACTGCGTCATCCAGGGTGTCTTCCTGGTCCGCGGCCAGGACTTCAAGCCCGCTTTCGAGGTCGGCCCCGACTGGGAGAGCTACGAGTTCCGCAAGCTCGACCACACCAACGCTGAGGACCGCAAGCTCATTGAGGACCAGTGGGCTTGGGACACCCCCGTTGTCATTGAGGGCAAGGAGTACCCCTTCGCTGACGGCCACGTCTTCAAATAAGCTGGTGCGTTAGACGTAGCCAATTCATGATGATGATATCCCACTTTTCCCCCCTTCTTCTCTCGTTGGGTAGTCGTCTGAGATGAAACTCGACCTTTAAAATAACCTCCGTCTCTTTCTCCTCCAACCGAGGTGTGGGAAAGTTTTCGTGGGGATAGTATGTTCAGGGCGCTATTTCCCGTCCGGTCAACATCTATTCCATCTGATTGCTTTTTTCCCCACCTTGGTGTCATTTACCCCCGCCCTTTTTTTTTTCTCACATATCCACGCTACCCATGATGGAACGGTTTACGTGTTTTCATTCTTCGTCGACTCCTTCCAAAAGAAAACTTTTTCTTCCTCTATTTATTTCACGCGTAATGCCACGCTTACGATTGATATGGACCATAGCAGTAGCTAGTCAAAAACAAACCCACTAGCACATTGTGCTTTCCATGATCATGACTTCCTCTTCTTCCTTCGTAACTCAGTATTGTAATCATTGCTTGGTATATGATGCTCTATATGCCATATCAACATCCCGTATGTACTTCATTCATAGTAACCCCTTCGTTATACAAAACTATGTGCATACCCGTACAGTAACCTAGCTGGTCCCAGCCCAGCCATCCTTTCTCTTAGATTATCCCCCTCCACCACCAACTCCTGCCATGAGTGGATGCACCATTACCATATCATGTGGAACACCTACCTTCCACAATACAGAATATGGTATCTAATGCAGACAGATGAAGAAGAAATAACACAGAAAGAAACCTCAAGTCTTCAACGACTCCTCCAACCGATCCAAAAGATAATTCTCAGACTGAGTAGAAGCAGCAGGTGACGGTGAACGATCACTTGCATCCCCATCACCTAAAGTAATACTGACGTTTTCATTCAGATCAAGTCCGGATGGTATGGCAGTGCCACCCGGTGTTGAGTCCGAAGAAGGCGATGATGGGGAGGGAGGAGGAAATGAGGAAGGGTCTGTATTTGGTGTGCCGGTATTCGTTTCATCGACAGTAGAAGAGACGGCGGCGGCGGCCACTGGGATAGATGTAGGAGCTGGTGGTTGTTGTTGTTGCTTTTTCGCTTTAGCGGCAAGACGATCTTCTTGCTTCTGAATCTGGCGGGCTCTGGCTTTCTCGGCGGTCTTTTCGCGCTTGCGGGCTTTGCGGCGTTGTTTGCGTGCTTCGGCTATTTCAGCTGGTGTGAGGGGGACGTCGTTGGGTTTGGGTTGGGGTTGTTGTTGTTGTTGTTGTTGGGTGGTTTCGGATTGTTGTTGGGCTTCGGCGTCGTCTTGGAGCTTGATATCGAGACACAGGTTGCCAGTTTTGGGGATCGAGTTGTACCATTTGTGGAGGACTTGGCTGACGTCTTCGTGTAAGGATAGCTCCTCGAGCATTTGCAGAACCTTTGTTAATGTGGCCGCGTCTTCTGCGCCGGAGTGTCCGTCGAAGGTGGGGATTTCGAGGAGATTGCTTGGTTCGCTGCTTGCTTTGAGGCGGGTGTCGTCGATTAAGATGGTGTTGGTTTGGTCCCAGCGGGTCTTTTGGAAGGTTCCAGGTACGGATGAGCCCAGGCTTTCGGGGTTGGGGTATGATGCTTGGACCTTTTCGTCAGCCCAGACGGTACTGAGGGTTTTGTAGACCTGGATTTTGGCATCGTATTGCTGTGGTGTGAGATTGAAGTGTTCGCGGTGCCATTCGGCGACGATTTGCGTCCGGCTGTCATTGATGAAGAGTTGGCGGCAGATGCCATCGACGGTGGGGGGACGGGCACTCGACCATATCATGACCTTGTATTTCTGCATCAATGTCTGTATAAAGATGTCTAGTCCCGCTCTTCGCTTGAATCGAGGCGGCATGTACCGGTCAGGCCGATGAACGAGCGTGCCGTTCAAGTCCAAGATGACTAGTAGAGGTTGTTTCCAGGAATTCCGTTTGGCTGGTTTTGATGACTGCTCAAGGTAGGCCGGTGTTGGAAGAGCTCTTTTAGGTGGTGTCGGAGACTCGAACTTCTTGGAACGAGGGCGAGGACTAGCGCGTGCCTTGGATGAAGACCCCGGGCGTGGCGATGGAACCTGACTGGACATGTTGCGGGTATTGACTCCAGCAGAGCCAGCTGCTTGGAAGGCCACGGGCCCGAATGGCGGCATTGTCATCAATGGATTCGTTGGCGCAAAGTTCATGAAGGCAGGCGGGAACATGGGAGGCAATCCACCAGGGAACGCACTCATGTCATTCAACGGAGGGAAACCGAAAGAAGGATTAGTAGGCTCCCCCAAAGGAGCTTGAAGAAGCTGTTGCTGTTGCTGTTGCTCCAATGGGAGCTGCCAGAAAGGCTGCTGAAACCCTGGGAAAGTCTCGTTTGGCGTAGCCATGCCGTTCTGGAAGGGGAGAAACATAGGTGCCAAATTGAAGCTGTCAAATGTCCCAAAGCTGTTCTGGGATGGATGACCTGGTGCATAGGACGCTGTATTGGCAGACTGTGATGCTTGTGATTGCATCTCTTCCCGAATGTTCTTTTCGGCTAATTGTTTGCTCCGTCGTGGTAGCTTTTGCCGCGGGCGAGCAGATGGGGGAGCATTTCCCGGAGCCGTCGTGCCGGATTCCTCTGTGCCGTTGCGCTTGGTATTCCTCATTTTCTGACGAGCCCAGCGGTCTTTATACGGTCTCCAGGCGGGCTTTTCGTCTCCCATCACTGAAGAATTGGAACCATCATGACAAGCGCGACTGTCCATACTGGAGGCGTCGAATGCCGATGGGTTTGTTGAATCCATGTCGGGCTCAATGGACTGATTGTTGCGAACAGAGAACTGGGGTGGATTCGAGGATTTATGGTAGCATGTGCGAAAAGTGACAGGAGTATAATGAGTGTTGATTGTTCCCAGAGCAACCTATCCAATAATGTTAGCAATACAGATATTCGATTATTCTAGTCCAATAGCACACACCTTCGAGGACACCCCACTTTGAAACTTGCGATCAGGAGAGGGGACTATCAGGGCGGGGCGGGGCTTTATAGCAATCAGAGGCAAACGAGAGAATAAGCAGCATTGGCGTACTCGCAACATGAATGGAAGATTCCTGGAAGAGGAGCGACCGAAGTAGGAATCCGCCGCGACACAGGAGGGAGAGTGAAGAGGATGAGAGCAGCCAACGATAAAAGAAAGATAGAAGATATGCGGAGGCAGAAAAAGTGACTTAC